CGGTGTTAATGTCACAAATCCCCTTCTGATTATAATCATATGCTCACTAGTGACTGACTTCAAGATACATGTCCTGTAGTTCTAGTGGGAAGCAGTGACTAGTGGAGTTCAACCACGTCTGTTGTGAGATAACAACTCACTGAAGGCAATTGGTGAAGTGTCGCTCATAATTCGTGGATCAGTTGAAATTAGTTAATTAGTTGTATAAACTGAAGTGAATGTAACGCATCTACGATATTAATTTGATTTGTAACTTTTAATGAATATTATGAATATAAGTAATAGTGACCAGAAAACTCATACTTATTTACTTACTTAAGCCTGTAACCCCTGATGGAGTGTAGTGAACGATAATATAAGTGAGCAAAATCTAATGTTCTTGAACACAAAATTATAGAATATTTTAGTAAAATCTGAGAACCATAGAGTAAATACTTTATTTGGAAAATGTCAATCAATTGTCTCAAATTTGACTGCTCATTTTGTAAATATCAGTTAATCGTCTCAGATCTCAATGATCCTGCATTCCCATACTAATCACTTTCTGTTCCCGTTCTTTCCTCCTCGATCTTCTTGAGCTTCTGCTTCTAGAAATTCTATTCCTGATCAACGTTATATGCTACTTATGTCTATATATTAGCACATATCACAGGAGGAGCATAGACTGCTCACCAGCATTCTCCATCCAACTCCGTCCCGGACAATCCTATCCAGTTCTTTCCAGTTGCTATTCATCCTTTTCATATCTGCTTCCAATTCCCAAAGTATTGTGTTCTTTAGTCTTCCTCTTTTTCGTTTCCCTTCAGGATTCCAAGCTAGCACTGCCTGTAACTCTTCTAGGGCTACTGCCGGTCCCAAACCCATGTAAAAGAGAAAGGTTGAGCATGGGGTCGACAACCCCATCCTCTAGAAAACAACCTTGGTATAAAAAAGACGCTAACCAGAATAAACAAATTAAACCAGAAAACTCATAGCAATGATAAAAATATTTTATTTAGTAAATTCTTGGAAACTAATTGTATCAACAATATTTTCAGTGATATATCATTTGTTGGTATTTTAGAATTCTTGTTTCATTCTATTTTCTTCATATCTAAAGGAGACAGTTTGGTTAAATTGCGCAATTCGGTATATCACTAGAAATTGCTTTCAATAAATTCACGATAGTGTTATTTTTTTCTAACGAATTTCTTTACAATTAATCAAGACTCTCCAATACAATACAACATGTACCAATCGAATTACACTTGACGGAGAAGCTCTGGAGGATGTGAAAACCTGTACATATCTGGGAAGCATCATCGATGAACACGGTGGATGTGATGCAGATGTGAGGGCGAGGATCGGCAAAGCAAGATCAGCATATCTACAACTGAAGAATATCTGGAACTCAAAACAATTGTCAACCAACACCAAGATCAGAGTTTTCAATAGAAATGTCAAGACAGTTCTACTGTATGGGGCAAAAACTTGAAGAACTATGAAGGCCATCATCCAGAAGATACAGGTGTTTATCAACAGCTGTCTACGAAAAATACTTCGGATCCGTTGACCAGACACCATCAGCAACAAGCTGCTGTGGCAGACAACAAATCAGATCCCAGCGGAGGAAGAAATCAGGAAGAAGCGCTTGAAGTGGATGGGACACACATTGAAGAAATCACCCGATTGCATCACAAGACAAGCCCTAACATGCTATCCTGAAGGCCGAAGGAGAAGAGGAAGACCAAAGAACACATTAAGCTGAGAAATGGGATCAGATATAAGAAGAATGAACAACAGTTGGATAGAATTAGAATGAAAGGCCGAGGACAGAGTGAGTTGGAGAAAGCTTGTCGGCGGCCTATGCTCCATTAGGAGTAACAGGCGAAAGTAAGTAAAGTAAATATTGAGAAATTTGTGCAAACAAACTCAAACAGTGACATCATTTTCATGTAAATTAGGTTATACTCTTGAAAATTAACTTCTTTCGAAAAAAATTATCCTTTGTGGTAAATAAAAAGAGTTATCTAAGAATAATAATCGTTTCGTATAGTTTGCTTGGTGTTGTTTACGTGTATCTTCGCATTGTGATTTAGGACTGCAACTGATCAGTCTCTTGTTAGCATATGTGCATTCTGTGCGTACTGCTTCGATACTGTCTGAAGTTACAAGCTTTATAAGCAAAGATGGATATTGGTTAGTAGTGGAGTCCAGTTTGACGGGCGTTTCGTCCTATTTGGAACTCGTCAGCTGGATGTACCTGCATCTCAAAGTTGATGTTCACTCTGAAACTCTATGCTTATAAATCATGTGACTTCAGATAACATCGAGTCATTTCGTACAGGATGCAGATATGCCAATAAGAGACTGATCAACTGCAGTCCTAAATAGCAATGGGAAGATACAAGTAAACAATACCAAGTGAATTTAAACTTCACCCCATTGAAAAAGCAGGTGGCTATCAGAACTCAGTAGCTAAGTAGATAACGTAACGGCGTTTGAAGCGAATGGTACTGATTTTGAGTCCCAGAGTGAACATCGACCCTGAGCTGCATATACATCCAGCTGACGTGTTCCGAATAGGACGAAACGCGTGTCCTGGATTCTACTGTTAGTCACTATCCGTCTTTGCTTATAATGTTTCGTATAAATATTTCCATTGAAATATGAAAATTTCGAGCATTTCATTTCTTTATCACGATAATGAATGAATCTAACCATTTGATTTAAATCTTTAGGTGAAAATAATGAAACAATTCAATACTGTACGATTTGAAACCATAAAGAAAATTCTTATCAACGTTGTCTGAATCTTTATTTAATATAAAGACATGATGGAAAGAAATTAATCCTTGACTAATCAATTTATTGACGCTATCCATCTGATAGAATGAGGTTTACAATTTCTGTCTTAATCTATACGAAATCGTACTCTGTGGTCTGCTGGCTCAATATCATTTTTGTCAATGATTGTGGTTCTACATTAGCTATATACGTTTTTTATTGTATTATTTTAATTTATACAGATTGGTTGTTTGGATATTCCCTTTGATGTTTGCGTCTGCAATTGATCAGTCTCTTTAAGACATATGTGCATCCTGTGCAGATCGCCTTCACATGGCCAGTAAATCACAAGCACTTTAGGCAGAAGTAGATGCAAGTGCATCCAGCTGATAAGTCCCAAATAGATTGAAATATGCGTCCTGGATTCTACTGCTAGCCAATAATCATCTCTACTTAATCAACTATATTCTAGATGTCGTTTTCACAGTAGGCGAGGATAAGTCTGAATACACTTTTTCATTCAGTCAAAATCAAACGACTATCCAGAAACGTTCATAGAAGCGACGGATTGTGTTTTATTGACTAAATAACCACCTGAATTTAGTGTGTTTATGGAAGCTACCAGAGTGTTAGGGCTATCCATAAATACACGAGTTTTCTGTACATAAACTAATCACGGAAGTCAAGATTCTTTTCATACTTACAGGTGCACCTTAATGATAAGTGCCAAATAGCACGAAACCTAGGTCACCCAGGGGATCCTGTTGACTTCATCTAACCACCAACTTATAACTTGTTTCATAGATGTCACAGTCAATCAGAGATTTCACTAATTAATAGAAATGGCAGTAATTTAATGACTAGGAAAGTTGTTTACTTCTACATTTTCTGACATGATCACATGATAGTCTCTTCCACATTCTATCGATTGTTGTATAGATAAAACTCAGAATATCTAAATTTTTATCACACGGACAATCAAAGACAATTTAATCAGAGCTTGATCGATTACTTTCTGTATATTTGAGTAGTTACTGTTTGTTGAACTGGTGAAATCCATACGGCTGTAAAATATTGGGTTCTAGTTAAAAGACAATGAGTCAGTTAGTATGTACACTTTTTTTTTACAAGTATTGCTATATTATTATGACATAAATGTTATCATCACTGTTATTTATTTGTCAACTGGACTTGTACTATGACAATAAAATCACTAAAACATAAAAGAAACGACATTAAAGTTTCACTAGTTATTATCTAACATCTAAGTACTTATTCGTCATCAGACTACTTAACCATAACGAAAACTAAAGAGAAAGAACAGGGTCTATCAAATTGAAAAAAGTTTAGTTTTACTTAGTGTGTATGTGTGATTCATAATTAGATCTGCCCGATTCTTTTTTTAATCAAAAGTGAATGAACTGGAGTTAGAGTTTAGATAACATTTATCTAAACAGATCTGTTTTAAAATAAACGATGAATTCAAATCGATAAAAATAGAAGTATGGATCTGTGGGATAGAAAAAATCAATTGATTTTTAACAGTAAACAAGTCTACATACATTATTAAGAATTATTCCTCAAAGGAAATACAAATAACGTTATAAGCTAAAGCCAGACATTCAGATAGATTAATGTGAAGCTATAAATAGTGAAATTGAGCATATATATGTAATTTAGTTATACATATATATCGTTAGGATGAAAAGCGAAAAGCCGTGAGCAGTGGAGTTAAATCTATGTAGCATATGAAACAGTTACCCACCACGAGCAATAGATGGAAGGCTGTTGGAGATCATGTACTGATTGGAGTTAGATATAATCAACGTTGTATGTCGGTTTAGTGGCCAAGAGGTTAGGTGTTCGTGCGCGAGACTAAGAGCCCTGAGTCCTACCCCCCCCCACGCGGAGTCATGGATGCGCACTACCGAGGAGTCCCATACAAGGAAGAAACGTTCATTCAGTACTTACAGGTTTTCAGTGGTGGTCTGGCTAAGATGGAGTCGTTATTTGAAGTATGGAAAGTCTACAATCCCCACAAATCCCTGAAACTATACAAAAAAAGTCCCAAGCTTCTGTCGATCAAATGTGTAAAAGTAAGTTTATGACCTTGTTTAGACTTAGATAACCCAGTTTAATTGTATGGGTTAATCAACCCCTAAACTTTTCAGCATCATATATTAGCTCCTCAATACCAAATTGTATTTTGTCAAACTAATAAAACACAGTTAGAATTCAAAGTGACTTAAAACTTGGATTACCTCTCTCTTATTTGTTTACAATATACAGCTTAATCTATTGACACAAATAACTGATATTAAAAAGAAAGAAAAATACTCCAGAAACGATTGCTAATAGGACGCCAAAAAGAGGAAAAAAAAGTCAAAATATACTCAAAAACTGAATAAATCTATTTCACAAGAAAAGTTGCAACAAATTAACCAAATGTGTATTTTATATGCAGAAAAAGAGAGTCCGGAGTGGGATAAAATAAGATATATAAACAGTAAAACAAACATTATATATACGTACATACTTTGAATATTATATATATATGCATCCAATCTGCAGGCCAAAAATACCGAATGTGCTAATACAACTTGTCAGTCAGAATGCCAGGACCAACAACAAATATTCGATAAAAAAACTTTATATATATAACAATCTCTATGGGAAATATAAAACTTGGAATGCTGTGCAGAATACTGAAAACAATAATAGTACTACTACTACTAATAATAATAAAAGAACATAACAACAAATAAAAACATAAGGGACCAATGCAATAAGATGAATGATTAATCGACATGTAGAAAAAGTGTTTTCATCTTTTTTTTTTAAATTGTGAAAAAAATCCAAAAGCATCATACAAAAACGAAGCATGAGAGTTCTTAATAGAGAAAAATGATAAGGCAAATAGTTGATTGGCTTGTAGTAAGAAAATTAAATGAAAAAATATATAAAAACTAAGGTGGAAAACTGACAGTAAGTAATTTGGGAGAAAAAAACACTGATCTAACAAAGCTTAAAGGTAGTAATACATTTCAGAATGTGTTGTTTTAGGTACTTCGTTTCTTTTACCTTTTTTTCAGGAAAAAAATGAGCTGAAGCAAGAGAATATTTGAAAAAAGCAAATAAGCAGATGCAAAACAAGAGGAAGAAGATCGGTAAGAAAAATGAAAAATCTATTAAATATTTTCCGGAAAATAAGAAATAAAGCTGATGAAAAGAAGAAAAAAACAAAAGAAAGAGACCAGTTTGTTAACTTTTCTTTGCTGAATCAAGAGAAAAAGATTAGGGTGATGTACTTGTAGAAGTTAGTAAATATGGTAATGCTACTTGTACTGTTGATTCTGAAGCTACTATTGCTGCTGATGATGATGATGTTGGTTGGGATTGTGATATGATTGTTGTATTAGTTATACCTTGAATAGTACCAATTGTACAACACGATTGTAATTGGCGAATTGATGATAACATACTTTGATGTTGTTCATTTGATAAACTCATATCGATTGATGGTAATGTACCATTTTTAATTTGCTAATTGTTGGCAAAAAGATATGGAAAATTATATGCATGAACAATAAACAAAACTGTGTATTTAAAATAGGTGTATTATGACTGACATTTTTGTTTCATCCCGTTAGAAGCACATCAATTCGATGGACCTGTCGTATCCCACTGTTGAGGTTTACAATAGGACTTGAACCCAATGTATTTCATCTTAAACGTGTAATTAGCAGAATTGTTACACGTCTACTTTTGAACAAATGAATTACTTCTAATCTTCCGAGTGATTTTGTCATTTATATGTGTAACTTTGAGCATGTGCATGAAATCGTATGTGTCTATATGCTCGCTTATATCTTTCATGCCTATAAGTGTTAAGTGACGTTCTACTTAAATAGAGTTGGTAAGCTTACCAATTAATTGATCACTGTGTGACCAATGTCATGTATGTCAGGTCAATAGTAGTGTATATCAAATTCTATCAATCAGGTTGCCATGTTTCCACTGATCTAGGTGACTCGACATTATTTGCATCAGTTCCCTAAAGGTTACAGGTACACCTTGCTGACGAGTGTCAAATAACATAAAATCCATATCAAACAAGGTTTCCTGTAGACCAGCTCCAACCACCACCTTACATATTAACATAGTACACGTGATATTGAGTCACTTAGACTAGTGGCCATCTTGCAACCTGATTGTTAGAATTCTATCTTCACTAATAAGCATCTGACACTTATTACATTAATCACTATTACCCAATTACCAATTAATGGTAAATACATCTTAGTGCGACAATAGGTAAATCGCTGACCGGAAAGTTAAGTGGGAACGCCTCTGCCTATAAAACTTAGTGGCAAGGGATCGAACCAGGAAGGAAGCATCACGAAACTTGGGTCATGCAGAGATTCCTATCAACCACCTCCAACCATCGCCTTACAAGTTCTTTTATCATTTTGATAACAATTGTATTATCATATACTGTAGTAAAATCAGTTACAGTATTGCAGAAATGTGAAAAGAGTAATTTCTACTACACTACTCGTTAATTAGTTTCTATTTACAGTTCCGATAGAATGTAATGAACATTTTACTTCAATACAAAATTAATCAAGAGTTAATAAGATTTTATCGTAAGACAAAAAGACTGAATAATTCTGCCACATTAATTAATCTTTTTTGTTAGAATGATCTAACTAAATGTTTATCGACTGAGGTGAATAAGTCACAGGTAATATAATTTATTCTGAAAAAGTGGTACAGTTTTCATATTCATTGGGATATAACAAAAACGTACTCATTAATTTCAGAAGTTATGTTTTATAGAATTAAGTAATACATTGCAAACTGCTGCTCAGTATAATTGCCATTAGACAGGGAGACGGTCATCTTAGACACCGATCTCCTAGGGCTGATGAGACTGTCAAGATAAACGAAGCCTCTCTACTTCATTCTTTAGGATTAGAATATGCACTAAAAGAAAGTAATTCTAAAGCAGTATTTTGCATTTTAGCGAGAGTAATACATCCAAAATATACTTGAAGTATTACTAAGATACTTTCATTATTCTTTTTAAACAGGACTACATAGTCTACACGCTTTAATTCAATGAGACATTCTCCATGTGGAATACTTACTACAATTCCTTCTTAAAAATTTAACAAATCTTAGCATAATATTTTTGTTAGTCTTATCATATCCAAGTAGTACACTGAAGAGACTAATAATCAAATACCAGCAAACTACAGATACCTTCTATTTTCATTTGCCATTCATAGCTGTGAAGCAAAATAGAGCAAAATCCTGTGTGATATAGTTTCTCTTATTAATAGTTGGACAACAAAATATCTTCCTTGCAATGAAAGTATCCAAGTCATCATCACAGATAGCGTAGAACCTAACACATATACGCAACGGTTCAAGTTGTCATACAGTGTTACCACAGAGAATTGAAGTTATTTAAAGACAAATCTTTAAGTAGTGGTAGTAGTAGTAGTAGTAGTAGTAGTAGTAGAGGTTAGGTACGGAAAAAGAAAAAAAGATATAGAGTGGTTTGGGACTCAGATTCTGGGGGAAGACAAGTGGATTCGTCTCAGCGATTAAGAAAGATTCTGAGCCGTATCACTCAAAGTCTCTAACAATACGTTACGATAATCATGTGGACCCTAGCCAGGTAGTCTACACTTGTCCAGATGTATCAGTTCGATTGTCAGTCAATTCTTAGACTGGTGCCACACCTCGGGTTTTGGAGCCCCTAGCTTCAACTTACTCACTCTAGTTAACATCTCACGTCAAGGTAGGTGGTGGTTAGGCATAAGTTACGTACTGATATAAATAAATTCATAATGCAGACTTAGCATACTGACATGTATATTTTGCATACTGATAAACAAATTAATAAATTACAAAACTTACGGATTGACTTCCGTAGATAGCAGTTGATAAATGACGCGCACAATTACTACCAGTAAATACTTTATTATGATGTGATGGATTAAGTATTGATAAGAATGTATTTGTTTGATGATTTTGATGTAAATTATGTTGTAAATGTGTTGATGTCATTTGATGCATAGAATTTGATTGTCCTATACAATTAGAATGTGAATGAAATTCTAAAATTGGTGTTATCGTAGCATATGGTGATAAACATGAACCATTCATTTGTGTATTATTATTATTATTGTAAATATTAGTTAATTGTTTTCCGATTTGTTGAGTCTGACGACTGATTGGTGTACCATCATAACTTATAGACTAAAATAAATATATTTTAAAAAGGAAATATTATGGTAACGTAATGAATACTCCTAATTTTTAATGATAAAATCAGATAGCTGGATCTTTTTTTATAAGTAAAAACACCACACTCATTCTAAACAAAATAATTCAAACAATCATAAACATTGAAACATGATAATAGAAACGAAATCTCTTCATAAATTATTGAACACAGTAGACACAGTAGCATAGATATAAAATAACTAAGTTTAAACAAATAATTACAGTTATATGGTTTTGACAGGATTAATATTTGTATTCTCTTTGTACAATTTGAATGTTTGAAATGTCTTTTAATAAACAAAATAGTGAACAAACAAAAACTTTAGTACATAAGTTACAACAATTATTGACAATATCTTTTCTTTCTTTTTTGTTATCAACTATTAACAACATTTGAAGCAGTAACAATTGAATAAAACAATTGAATTTTTTTTGTTAAAAAAACGTTACATAAATATGAACATTTTTTTCACAGATGTAATTCAACTCCAAGTTATTATTACTATTATTATTATCATTACGATTATATTAATGAAACGTTGAAAACTAACAGCCTACCTCAGCTGAATCCAATATACCAGATGAATGTGTACTGTGATCAGTACTGTAATCACTAGTTGAATGACCAGTAAATGGTGAACTGGTTTGATGAAGTAGCATCACTTCATGACTAGATCCAGTTAATGGGCTATACAAATAAGTTGTATTTGTTGCACACTGTTACAATTAGACAAATGTTTGATTGTTTTCATAAATTAAACATACAAAATAAAATGATAAAGATATTAATTAATAATTAAAAAAGAGGCAAAGTTTAATTATACTATAAATATATTACATATGCCTTATATACACATATCTAAACTGTCAAAGTCTTCAAAAATTCCATATAAACAACTTAACAGAAGCTTGTTTTTTTATTGAATAGATTGAAGGAAAAATACGAAACAAAGAATTAACTAATTATCATATATCTTAGAATGAAATGTAGTTTGTTAAAAAAAAAGTAATTTGAATAGTTGCTACACGGGATATACTTTCAAAAAAAACAAAAAAAATAATAATAGTTTATTTTTGGAACTATATTAAATGATTACAGATTATTCATCTTTTTTAGTTTTCTGTGCAGTTTCTACATCATATCGTGGCTTTTTTAATGGTTGAGTAAAAGATAACCCTACAATATCATCATTTAAATGAACAGATTTTGAAAATCCACTTGTGGCAATATCCTCCTTTTCTTTTGTTTTCTTCATCTCTTTCATTGAATTCATATTTGTATTAATTAATGTTGGTGAATTAATTGATGCCGTAGCTAAGGCAGCTAATGTTGCTACTGTAGTCATATCAAGATTCATATTAATCTCATTATCAAATATATTTGTATTTGGTTGCTGCATAACAGTAGCAGCAAGTAATGCTGCAGTGGATGCTGTTAAAGTTGAACTTTGTAACAGTTGCAACGTTGATGATAAATCGCCAAATGATGATGGGTATAATGATAATGTTGAATTACTCACCTGTTGAGGAAATTGAAGATTTGGATTCGATATTGACGTTGATTTAGTAGTACTCATACTTGAAGATGTATCAATAGTGAACATGTTAGATTGAGGACTTGTTCCCTGAATTGTATTTTGAGATTGTTGTATACCTGGTGACCAATGCCAATTAGTTGGATGTTGAGCTGTAACAGTAGATTGGTTCTGTGTAATTGTTGATGTCTGATTGATGGAATGTTCATTGTTTAGATGTGAAACGCTATGAGTTACTGCTACAGCAGATGATTGTTGTGGATTTTGCTGGTTATTCGGAGCTGAATGTTGTGGCCATTGAACAGCAGCAGCCATAGCAGCAGCTGCCGCCATTACTGAAGGAGTTGAATGAGATTGAGGATTAGTGTTATTAACACTGACATTGAGTGGTGTTATCTGACCAACAACCGCCGGTGTTAAACAAGAAACAGCTCCTGTTTGATGAAACTGTTGGTGAAGTGCTGCTGTTACAGCATGCTGTGGAATGTGTGTATATGGCGATATGGCGGCAGCTGGAGTTGAATGTAGAGGAGGCAAGTAGAGAGGTGTCCCTCCATCCGGCTGTGGAAGTATCATTGTGGCGTAAGGAGCTGTAGTCTAAAAATGATTGAAATTAATTCCTATTACTATCATTAAAAAAGAGATTTTATTAAAAAAACTAAACAACTAGGAAAATAATTTTCATGAATGCATAACATAACAGAAGTCACTAGTATCTTATCCTATCTACTTTAAACTGCTTATTAGACAAGAACTACAGTTTAGCTACTAATCAATTTCAAACAATCAGACTAATTAGTGCTGTAATTGTTGAAACAACATTATCTATAGTGATAGTAAGATGTTTTATGAATCTCTAATTAAAATAGAAATTTCACCCTACTATATAATTCGTTGCTATGGCGTTTCAGAATTGTCTGTGATGTTTACACTGTTCAGAGTAATAATTTGAAACTTAAATATCAGTACTACTATATGTGTCTTGACTTTCAATAAAAGCGTTCATTTCGAAAAGTCTAAAGTATGTTAAATTTAAGTATGCTGACTAATGACTGTGCATGCTCATACAAACTGTACATAATAAATTGAGCATTTAACAATTTTCAATGTATTTACTCACTTGAGTCAATATAGGATACTCTTGGCCAGGTAAAGGGAATACAGCCATACCATTTTGAAAGCTATAAGGAATTGCATTTCCGGTGAATAGCAAAGTTGTTGTTAGTTCTATATGAGAAAAGAAATACAATGTTACAAATGTGCAAACTTGATGACAAAATAGTCGAACAAATTAAGAACATTGTACGTACCTGGACGAGGAAATATTTGTTGCTTACGAATTGCATGACCTATGTTGAGTTTACGGTCTTTGAAAATTAGTGTTTCCGACTATAATAAAAATGTTAGTAAAATATTATACTAACCTCATCCTTGATAATTTTTTCAGCCATTTCTTGACTTTCAAAAGTAACAAATCCATAACTCCTATTGAACATACATGATTTTCAGTAATAAAATTTACCCCTTAGATGCCCCAAGGCGATCATTTATAATTTTGACATCTTTCACGTGGCCGAAACTTGAAAAGAAAGACTTCAGTTCTTGTTCGTTTGTCTAAAAGCTAAATGAAAAGTATAATTCAAACTTACATTTGATGGTATTCCGCCAACAAATATGCGGTTTGGAATAAGGGTACCAAACTTGGGTAGGCTGGAAGATCCAGGAGCTAATGGATGACAGAGAGGAATTAAAGCGTTCTCAGAGATGAGTCTGTTAGTCTGATCACCCGTTTGAATATTGATTCCAGACTAAGTTAATGGTAAATAGAGGTAAATAGTTGAATACTTTACAGTTGCTAGTTTATACCAATTTGAAGACTTTATGACAGTTAGTCAAAACTATATAAATGCACACAAATAAATTAAAGTTCACATCGTTACACAAGCCAGTTACTATCTGAACCCAGTATCCACGTAGATGACACTTTGTGAATATGAAGGTAAAGGTATTGGATTCGAGCCTCAGTGTAAAGACCAACACTAGTGCGAAAATAGATTCAGCTGATAAGTTCGAAATAGGACGAAAAGCATGTTCTAGTTTTTACTACTACCCACTTTTCAACTCTAGTTACAGATACTTGTCACTTAATGCTATATCAATTCAATCTGGACAGGATGTGTATACGTCAAGAGAGACCGATTAATTGTAATCATTAACATCAAAGAGAAGATTCAAACAACTCTTACGAAAAAATACAAAGAAGGTTTTTAAGTCTGATACCTGAATAATTATTTTAAGCCGACTAAAGTGGATAAAAAACCGATTCGATTTTACGAAAACAGATGCCCAAAACACGAATTTCGCACCTAATTGAACTAATTAGTCATTTTTTATTTTAAACTCTAGGCTTTAAACCGAATCCTCATTACCTAATAAAAAACGAATTTCTACCGGAAAAAGCTAGATTTTGATTCTAATCAACACTTAAAAACATCCTAAGGATTGGGTGACAGATTTTAATAATGATGATGGTAGTCAAGCTATCACGCTTAATATATCAGATCATTCAAAATATTCAAGCCCATACACCACATAAACAACAGGAACCTCATAACTCACCATCTTTTTTTTACAAATAAAAGACAAAATCTATGGCCTCAAAATGAGTGGTTCCGCGATCAGAATCAAATAAAATGGGCTGAGACTTTTTTCAGCTTAATCTAACTTCAGTTTTGCGTGGGCAGTTGTCATTTTATCTATTTCATCATATTCAAATTATTATTATTCAGATTACAATTTATTTCATTGGTCCTTTTTTTGTAAAGGGCCCCTCTAATTTATTTGAAGCTGTGCTTTGTATATGTCTATATAACGCTCATTTAATGAACTAAAAGATGATGGGAGAAAATCGATTTGAGACTTTAACATTTGTGTGAAATCAACCCACCCATTATTAATTTCATTCATATAAGGATTCGAATCAATGTATTTTAAAAGTCATTATTTTATTGGTTGGAAAATAATTATAGAGAGAGATGAGTTCAAAAAGTTCTCCTGAATACCATCAAGCCCATCTATTGAGGTAATTGTGTTTTATGATGTAACAAATCCTTGTTGTTGTTTTTTTAAATGACAATGTAAATCTTACACTTATAACCGAGAAAGTAATATATGTTAACTAACAGTTTTTGAATAGACTTAGCATTTAGCGAAAATGCAAAATTAAAACACTCATTGTACACCACATTTCACTAAAATGTAATGTTATAGCTGGAGTGAGAATAGATTGACAGCTATTTCAAAATGTCTTTGTCAATACATGGAATCAGTTTCACAAAGTCTCTGATTTTTTATCACTTCCTTGTGAAAACTGTGATTATTTAGTGAATAAACTGTGAAAACCAAGCACTTCAAAGTTACTCTTCCATAAATTATGAGATATATTATTTTTTTCTAGATTTGTGTACTGATTACTCAAGTCCCTATGATCTGTTTTATTATTTGCACTTTTAGAATAGACGATTTGTGGAAATTATCTGATTGGAAATTAGTTACATCACAGATTAGCATTAGCTGAAGAAACAATTAAGACTAAGGTTCCAATTTTTCGATCACCAAATCCTAACTACTATCATATTTGTCTATTCTTTTGGTGGTAGGCGAATTCGATTGATCAAGTTGCAATTTTACTACTAGTTAAAATGATTCGCGATAGTGTTCACTATATTTTATATGTTGGATGGTTGGAGTTAGCTGTCAAAACTCTCCTGTTCAACCTTGTTAACAAAAGCTACGGCTTATTGGTTAAATGCTTATTAATAGTCTAACACTTCAGAAAAGAGAATCCATGACCAAACGTGGTACCGAACCGATCACCTCCAAATTTCGCAGCTAACACAGTGCTTTTAGACCACTGAACTGAAACTAAATACATTTTAAATTCCTTTCGTCTCTCAATATATACTTACTTACGCCTGTTACTCCCAATGAAGCATAGGCCTCCGACCAGCATTCTCCAACCCACTCTGTCCTGGGCCTTCCTTTCTAGTTCTATTCAACTTTTGCTCATTCTCCTCATGTCTGTCTCCGTAATGTGTTCTTTGATCTTTCTTTTCTCCTTTGGCTTTCAGAATTCCATGTGAGGGCCTGTCTTCTGATGCAATTAGGTGATTTCCTCAATGTGTGTCCCATCCACTTCCAGCGCTTGTTTTGAGTTCCAGATGTTCTTCAGTTGTAAATATGCTGCTCATGCTTTGTCTATTCGCGTCTTCACATCCGCATCACATCCACCGTGCTCACAATGATGCTTCCCGGATATGTGAAGGTCCTCACACCCTCCAAAGCTTCTCCGTCAAGTGTAACTTGATTGGTGCATATTGTATTGTATCGGAGAGTCTTGCTTTTCCCTTTGTTTATATTGAGACCTACTGCTGCTAAGGCTGCTGCCACACTGGTCGTTTTCTCCTGCATTTGTTGTTGCGTTTGTGATAGAAGAGCCAGATCATCCGCGAAGTCTAGATCGTCAAGCTGTATCCTGCCTGTCCACTGTATCCCGTGCATTCCTCCAGATGTTGACGTCTTCATGATCCAGTCGATGACCAGGAGAAAGAGAAAGGGTGAGAGTAAGTAACCTTGCCTAACTCCGGTCTTTACTTCGAATGAGTCGATGAGTTATCCCCCATCAACGATTTGGCAGTTTAATCCATCAAAGGAATTCCGTATGATATTGACTATCTTATCAGGTACGCCTTAGTGTCGAAGAAGCCTCCATAGTGTTGTCCTGTCCACACTATCAAATGCTTTCTCGTAGTCGATGAAGTTGATGTAGAGTGATGAATTCCATTCAATTGATTGTTCCATAATGATTCGTAGTGGTCTGTACACGATCGATCCTTACGGAATCCAGCCTGTTGGTCTCGATGTTTGGCGTCTACGGAGTCCTTTATTCTGTTTAACAATACCATGTTAAAGACTTTTCCTGGTATTGAAAGAAGAGTGATGCCCGTGTTGTTATCACACTTGCTGAGATCGCCTTTTTTTGATATTTTGATCAGAAGTCCTTCTTTCCAGTCTGTTGGTACTTGTTCTTCGACTGGATAGTTTCCTAGCGATAATAGATATCCATTCTTTAAAATACCACATTTTCCATAGGATCGTTAGAATAATGAGTGAATATATAATTATTCTAGGTTTATTTCGAGTTCACGTTCTTCTCCTATACAATGCCTCATAAATGTAATCCCTATTTTTCAATACACAGTTTGTCCTAACATATATGAGTTTTCATTGTTTTTAGTCCGAAAAATTAGTCAATAATTTATGAGGCAAAAACTTGCATAGAAATATACCATACTGATGGACCTATTGGATTTTTGGTAGAGGCATTTGGGTTCTTCCAAGAAATTCAAATGGCAGTGACGGAGAGCATAAATAAAGATCTAAACGAAAATTACCTAAACTTAGGTCTTAGGACGCTCAAAATGATAAACAGATCTGTTGTACAACCGCAATAAATATGACATGATGTCCAGTCCAAATTACAAGAAACACATGTTACTGATGTAGACCATGTAATAAAGTTGTAGTTGCTCGTTGAGATAACTGATATGATTCAAAGTATAAAAAAGGATGTTTGTGATGCCCCTCAAAGTCCTTGTGTGTTGTATCCGTGTCACTAATTTTTATACTTGAAAGAACGACGAACCACTACAACTTCCACGACGTGAAACAAGAACACACGACAATCCTAGTCGAAAATACATGCAACATATATTGACTGAACACTCATTTTGATAACTAATTAGAATGAAATCACACATATGAAATATACTCAGAGTTATAACAAAATCTCATGTTGCATGTTAATGTTGAGCCTAGTTCATGTTAATTCAATACATGCATATTGTATCTTGAAAAAACATCACATTCAAATAAATTAACGATAAAATATCACCCTGGAAAACAAAAACAAATATTCCTCTGAATAATCATGATAAAGAGTTACGAACAGAAGTAACGTTGGGCGAGAGTCACTATGAGTTAGAAATGTGATTTTACCTTCTCATTACTTACTTACACCTGTTAACCCTCGTGGTGGAGCATAGGCCTCCCACCAGCATTCTCCATCCAACCCTGTCCTGGGCAATCCTTACCAGTTCTTTCCAGTTAACATTCATCCTTTTCATATCTGTTTCTATTTCCCGGCGTAGTGTGTTCTTTGGCCTTCCTCTTTTCCGCTTCCCTTCAATATTCCTAGTTAGGGATTGCCTCGTGATGCAGTTTGGTGATTTCTTCAATGTATGTCCTATCCACTTCCAACGTCTTTTCCTAATTTCCTCTCCAGTTGGAAGCTGGTTTGTCCTCTCCCAGAAAACGCTGAAGCTGATAGTATCCGGCCAATGGATGTTGATGCTGCTACATTTTCTGTCTTCGTCTGTATTTGTTCGTGTGTATAGGATAGGAGGGTAAGGCCATCTGCAAAGTCCAAATCGTCTAATTGGTTCTGAGAAGTCCATTGTATTCCGTGCTTCCCCTCAGATGTTTAGGTCTTCATAATCCAGTCAATCACCAGAAGAAAGAGGAATGGGGAGAGTAGACATCCTTGTCTGACTCCGGTCCTCACTGGAAATGCATCTGTCAGCTGTCCTCCATGCACCACTTTGCACTGTAGTCCATCTTCACCTTCTCAACACATTATATTAATCGTTCTTTATGACCCAACCGATAAAGAAAACGTTTACATTCATGCATAGAGTGTACAATCATGGACTTTCGATTATACGGATGATTAAAGAGTATTTAGGGTAAAATCAAAGAATCATCAATTGAAAACGCTAATTCATTGACCTTATAGCTGATGTCTGTAGCGATAATGCTGAAGTAATATGCCTGTGGTAAACGGGTCTACAGTAATCAGGACAGGCTTTTATAGAGTATATATCTAGATCTTAATATTGATGAATCTATTATGAACTTTAATAGGTTTATTACTCATATAGAAAGAATGCATATGCTCTAAGTTTTTGAACTTCTGACAGTAAATTATCCATTTGTACCATTTTTTTCTGAGTGATCATATTCACTTTTATCATTCAATCTATAAACCGAGAAGTTTTCAAATTTTACAGTCATAAAGATGCATTCAGAAACTATTATATTTAGTTTAAAAAATGTAACTAAGCCTTTGGGGAAAAAAGTCATTATCGACTTTGAAAACAAAAGAGTTAGTATAGATTAACTTTAGTTTTATGACAACTGAAAACAATAACACTTCTTCCCGATATATATTTTCATCAATTTACAAAAAAGTTAAAGATATTCAATAGAAAACTTTCTAAGGCCTAAATACACTGAAGTCACTAACTTCTAGTCTGAGCCATGTTAGCAGATGCAGACTAATTGGTTGGAGTCCGCGCCACTATCGTAACCAATGGTTGGAGACTCTAGGTGACATGGCTCAGAATTGATCACAATGGTGTAGGTGTATACACTCTTTATCTTCCCTTAAACCTTGAGATTAAAATTGCTTCATATCTTTCTTTCCTCCTGTACTATATCCTTATATACAACCTATCCTTTACATATTACCACCACTAAATTAACTACTTCTATGAATCCGGTGTTGATCTTGTTCTGCTAATGAGGTATGGCAACTTGGACCGATGCATATATGTGCTTGGTCCTACATTGTATCTGTCTGACTGACTGTTCACAGAATTTCCGTATCAACATATAATCTAGATTAGTAAGAGTGATACAATTATTTTTTGCTTAGAACAGACTATTTGATG